TGGACACTGCCCCGCTCGGGTGCAGGCCTACGCTAGTCCGATAGTCTAGCTCCTCTTAACTACTCTCCCACTCTCTCTGTACAGAATAAACCACCCCTACCACTCTGGCCTCCCACCGTCTTCCCTTCTCTTAAGGAAGCGGGATCTGGAGATCGCAGTTGCCAGGGTTTAACTTACTTAACGTCCTGCGATGCGCGCACCTGTCAACTCGCAGTGTGTCTTTTAGTAAACCTCCTGAGCATACAGCGACGTAGACGACAGAATGGTTCTGAGAGTCCAATCTCAAACTTTTGAAAGTAAAAAAGGAAATAAGAAGGAAGCAATTTATTGACATTCGATTCTCAAGAGAGTGAGAGAGACCCATGAAAAGTAAGGGATTCTTGTCAAAAAGCACACAAATCATTTGCACCATTGTTGGCGCGTATCGAAAGGAATGTATGCACTTCCTCTGCAAACTCCTCTCTTTTTGTTCTTCCAGTGCTCCCAAAGGCCCTCGTATGATAGACCACCCCACGGGCGTCTTCAGATGATGTTGTTGTTTAAAAGGCTGGCATTTGATTTTCATTTCTGAGATAGTCGAGTATTTTTGGGGTCTGCGTCGAGGCCCGTTTTGAGCTCCGTGTGGAGCCCCGCGTGGAGCCCTGGTCGATGCGGTAGGCCCGACCAATCATGAGAGGCGGTTGGCGGGGAGCCACATATACAATTGGCACCTTGGGGTAGCTTCTTCGAAATGTGCGATAGAGGCGAAGTTTTCGGCAGACCCAACCGAACGCTGTCAGACGTATGAGCACAAGAGCCATGTGGAAGTAGATGAGAGCAAGTGTTAACGAACTTTTCGTGTTGCAATCGTCCATTAGCAGGCGTGCCCAAATAAAAAGCCCGAGGCCGCCAAAGTAGAGAAGGGTCAGCAGCAGGGTTAACACGAATCTCACAGTACCCCTGCTATGCTGTGGCAGTAGGGCTCCTCGGTATTCACAGTCCGCTTCGCATTCTGGCTTCCTAGATTGCGGAATTATGCTAATGATGGCTGGCTGTGAAACTGGACAATCGGAGATGTTTCCTTTAGCGAGACTGTCCGCTTGGGCTTCAAGTTGGCTCTGCAAGTCATGTGTCAGCGCATGACAGGGCCGTCTCTGGCATGTGGTCGGTCGTGGCTCACGCCAAACTGCAGTCCTACACCATTCCAGGAGGACGGCAGCAAAACCCATACCAGCTAGGTTTTTTAGCAGCTTTCTTAGCTTTTCGCAGGCCACAAAGCAACTAGCCACGAGGAAGAAGGTTTCCACTAAGAGAAAGAAGAGCGAAAAGCCAGTGCTGAGCATGCAGATCTTTCTGGCATGTTGTTGTTTTGTTTCAAGACTTTTACAAGGAGGCTCCAAAGCTGCCTCCAAGGGGTCCTGGGCCTTGGGTTCAAGCGATGGCAAGCCGTCATCCTCATTGGAAGGATTGTAATTCAGGAGTCTCTGTAGCGCACTAGGGGCGGTAGCCAGTGCTGACTGATTAAATCCTGAGCGGCTAGTTAGTGTTACGGGACTCAGATGATGATAAACGCTGACACGTGAGAAAGTCGACCGCCGTTGCATGGTCGGCCGACTATCCCCCGTGGTTGACTGACGCTCCTCCGTCTTCTTCTTCCCCCATGGCAGCTTCATGGCTAGCGCTTTGCGGCCCCGAAAGCCTTCCAAGTGCACCTATTCGACACTCACGCGTGTTTTAAGCAGGAAGCGTGGACGCTTTATTGATTTTTTTTGCTGGGCGTAATTTTCAAGGCAGCCATTGAGGGACAAGATCGCAGGAGGGACTAGGCGTGACGTCACAAGTTTAAAGAGTTGGAAAATGGAAGTTTCAGACGTATTTGAACGTTAAAACATTCCTGGCCCTGGCATGAATCTGGTCCCAGTATAATTCATCGTTAAACTCAACGGCATTAATTTCAAATGGGCAAAACACGGTTGAGGGAAGCAACATGCGCAAATCAAACTAGGGTGCTATGGGATTCACGTCACGGAAACAGAGAAAAACAGTCGATTTGAATGCTAGGGATTTTCACACAGTACACAGTATTCAACAAATAAGGGAACTTGCCACAAATAAATAGTACTAATGTAAACAGTCGCATAATTTTTTTGCCAGTAACTTTTTATATAACATTGAGGGTCAGAGCAAGGCTGAGGTTCTCTCTAGTACTTTCCTAACTTAAGAAATACGGGTGTAGCTGTTTTTTTTTAAAATGCTTTTCATCGAAAAATTCCCTACAAACATTGAATAATCATCTGCCGTCATTCTACCGCTGATAAACGAGGTTTCAAGTTCAGAAGATAAATTGACAAACATACCTTTATTTTCGATAAATTCTCGTCAGGCCTGTACATTTATGTCGTAATTAAGTAAATAAACTATGCGGGTTGGTAGAAAAGATCGTGCGGTTGTCAGGAGGGGTGGGGAGGGGAGGGGCAGTGGGGTCAAAAATCTGATCAGCGTTAGGGAAGACTGGTAGCCGAGAGAGGTGATAAGCTGCGAACTGTTGGATTAGCGACTGTCATGGTAACTGCGGCGCCGCGGCGAAGTATCTTTGGGCGCACAGGACCGGTCGGTGTAGCCTGATGGCGGCTGCTTCCGCCGTAACCAACAGACGCTGTCCAAGGAATTTTGAATAGCTTGGGGGCACCATGTAGATAACTCGGAAGGCCTCCCTGGCATCCATGCGATGGTCAGAGTCTACCAGGTAAGCTAGAATGAAACCGTTTATGCTCTATTTGGCCTTTCCTTAACCACGCTGGAGTGTGTTCTCGTACTCTTTTGGACAAACGCCGGAACGTGCCACCAATGTATCCTGCCCCACAGGAGCGGGTGAATGAATATATGCACTTTTTTCTGCTTATTTTCCTGCTATCTTCTGAGCGGGGCCTAAAATATGATAGGCCACGAGCTCCGCAGAAGCATCTTTTTACCGCTAAAGCCGTCACCCCACCCCACACCCACGAATATGATAGTGCTTTAGAGGAACGCTTTTTTATTCAAAGGAACGCATATGTTAATTTACTACTGATTATTTATCAGCTAAGAAACCATCTATGCTAGTTCAACCCATAAAATCAAAAATGGCTTTGTGACAGGTTAGTTATTTCAGGCTTGAACTGACTGATAACCGAGAAAGAAAGTAGATGAAAAACAATAACATATACAAAACACTTGTACTTTATTGATTGCTCTTTTGCTAACTCTGGTGAAAAAGCAAATACCTTTACTTAGAGTACCCAAACAACCTCTCCAACTCATAGCAATTCGAGAATATCCATTGGCAAGTCGTCTGATGGGAGACGGAGATGTGTTATTTCTTACGCCTCATTAGTTCAACTAAAGACGGGAGCCACCCACTAGACGAGGCGTTAAACTACCGTCGTATGGCATGCCTTGAACGGAGGC